GTCATTACTTCGTCTTCTATTTTTGCTAGTTTATCTATTCTTAACTGGCTGACAGAAGATAGCGCAACAAGATGCTGGCAGTCCCAGTGTTTACGATCTGGGTAACTTTGTGCAAGTTATGTAACCTCTCTGAGGTCATCACCAGGAAAATGGGAATCATAATAGCTAACATGTGGAGTTGCAAAGATTACAAGCAGCAGGCACTTGATACACAATACTTGCTTGTTATTATGATGTTCTCTCTCCCCACTTCTCTTCACAAGTATTTCGTGAAGGTCTCAAAAGACAGCCTGGATCTTCCAGTTTAAAGGCCCTCTCTCTTAAAGAACCTTGGACGCCTCGCCTTGGCACTATACTGGATGCCTTGCATTCGAGTTGCATTAATAGGTGTAGGGCTATTTAAGTTACCTGTGTCTCCTTGAGGGAGCTTCAATAGTTTGTGTCTTTGAGGCATTTAGAGGTGAAAGTGCTCTTAGAAACCATCTAGGAAAGGGGCTCTCAACATTTACGGACATCAGAATCACCACAGCCTCCTTCCCTCGACACAAATTCTTTTTTTTTTTTTCTTTTTTAACTCCTACAGCACCCAGTATTCCCAGGTGGTCTCCCATCCAAGTACTAACCAGGCCTGACCCTGCTTAGCTTCCGAGATCAGACAGGATCAGGTGCATCGACGTGAATCCTAATGTAACGAATATTATAATGCAGAAAACTATATAAGTATAAATGCTTTTCTTTCCCTGAAATTCCTGTGAAATGTAAAAATATTACATAACTAGGGGCCCTGCGTTTGCAAAAAGACAGCAATCTTGTTAAGAAAACTATCCGTTGCAGACCATAATTAATGAAGCACCATCTGTGATATTCAGTGTTCTTTGCATGGGCTGTGACTATCTAGGCAAATTATTTTGCTTTTTACTGCAGATGGGAAAAAGAAGAGTGTGTAAGCAAGCAGAAGTATGACATGAACTATCAGTTTGGTTGTATATGCTATGCAGTTGAGAAATTTTTATTTATTAATGTAAATTCATTCATTTTCCTAGAAAACTCGATTTAAAATCCATATTCAACTTTACATTATTCTCCACCTGATCCTAAACATTGCCTCCAGATCAATTCCCACAGATCACCTGCTTCCTCTTCAACCCTCAGGTAAAACTAAAACTCCTTAACTTGGGATTCAAAACGTTCTACATTCCAGTCCTTCCTGAGCCTCCAAATTTAGTTCTCAGGACCAGCCCACTCCTGCTGCTATTGCCCAATGCCCATTGAGCCAAATTCATATTCTAATGGTCCCCAAATGTGTTGACTCATGAGCCTTGCCTGAGAGGCAGGATGCCTCGCCATAGCCTATCTCTCCTCTCTGGTGGTCAAAATCCTACTGATCCTTCAAGGCAAGACACTTCAGCTAGTAATTTCTTCCGTATGTTCTCAATGCTTGTTCTTTGAAAAAAACATTTATAGAGCTCCTAAACTTTTATAGCACTGATAGTGTCTGTAAAAATAGTATGGCACTTTGGTTAACTGTTTGTATTTTTTAAAATCAAATGTACCGAAGTATAATCGGCATACAGTAAAACTGGCTGTAAGGGTGTAGCGTTCTGTGAGTTTTTGTTAAAAAAGTTTCATCGGAGTATAACTGACGTTCAATAAACTGTATATTTAGAGGTAAAATGTGATGATTGATATGTATACATGGATGAATTCATTGCCACAATTAATATAATGAACACATTCATCACCCCCAAAGTTTTCTCATACTCCTTTGTAATCCTTCCCTCCCATTCCTCCCTGTATGCTCCCGCTCCCGTCCCCAGGCAACCACTGACCTACTTTCTGTCAACACAGATTAGTTTGCATTTTCTAGAATTTTATACAAATGGAATAATAAGCATGTACTTCATTTTGTTCATCTTTTTTTAGTCAACATAAATATATTTATTTTTGATATCCACCCATGTTGTGCATATATCAATAATTTATTCCTTTCTGTTGCTGCATAGTATTTCATGTGTGGATATGCTGCAGCTTATTCATTCATTCACCTGCTAATGAACATTTGGAGTGTTTCCAGTTTGGGGCTATGACAAATAAAGTTGCTATAAACATTCAGGTCTAAGTCTTTTCTTGAATGTATGCTTTTATTTCTCTTGCATAAGTATCAAGGAATGGGAATCACATGGGAATAAGTTTAACCATTTAAGAAACTGCCAAACTGTTTTTCCATGTGGTTGCACCAGTCTACATTCCCACCACCAGTATATGATAGTTCCAGTTGCTCCACATGTTAACAAACACTTGGTGTGGTCTGTCTTTGTAATTTTAGCATTCTAATTTGATTTTAATTTGCGTTTCCTTAACGTCCTCTCAAATAATTTCCCCACTCTTTAATTATATATTTTTTCCTTAATATTGAGTTTTGAGAGTTGCCTATATATCTGGATACAAATTCTTTATCAGATATAAGATATGCAAATTTTTTTTCCCCCAGCCTGTGGCTTGTCTTTCCATTCTCCTAACAATGTTTTTCAAAGTGCACAAGTTTTTAATTCTCATGAAATCCAATTTATCAATTTGTCCTTTTTTGGAGCATGCTTTTGGTGCTATAGCTAAAAACAAAAAACAAAAAACAAAAACCTTTGTGTAACCCATACTCACAAAAAAACCCCAAAAAACTTGTTATGTCTATCAGCGATTTAAGTTAACTTTTGTATACAGCGCAAGCTATAAATTAGATTTAGAGAGGCTATCGATGAGTACTTTTACTTTGAAGTTGAGGTGGCTCTGAGATATTCAAGTGAAGAGTCCAGCTGAAACTTGGAAAGAAGGATCTGGAGTCAAGAGAGAGGATGGGACCTGAAACATAAGAAAGGGAACTTCTGGCCTGTGTTTGGTGGTTAAATGTCCTTTGAGAGAACGAGCATACTGAGGAAGAACAAAAAGAGTAAGAAACATGCACTTATAAAAATTGGAGGAAATTAACATCAACGAAGTAAAATGACAGCATCTCTCAAAAATGTCATTATTAGTCAGCCAAAAAATAAGATTAATGCCATCTATATGGATGGATGTAAAACTGCAGTCATTTTCAAATTACTAAATGAAAATGTTTTCCCCTAATACCTGAGCCTGGATAGCCATTTCGCAATTCTGGAACATATCCATGGACCATTCCAATTTACCTGTTCCCTAGAATTTAAAATTACCCAGTCATGGCTTTTTACCTAAACTCGATTTCTGAGTTTATTACTTTCCAAGGTTGAGTCCCACCACAATATTTCTAAATGTTTTTTTTTTCTTCTGAATGCTTAAATTCAGACCCAGTTGAAAGCTCTTGACTGAAATCCTTCATATTAATAAAGGGTTGATTTGATAGTGGAAACTATATTAAAAGGGTGATATGTTATCCTTATTCATTTTCCCATCTCTTGGCCATAAATTATATCGTGATGGGTGCTCCAATCCTGGGAATGCTATTCAGATATGTAACAGGGCAGTTAGTACCATAGGGACTGGTTCAGATGTGACACATCTGGGAAGGAAGAACTTCTAACCTCAGCAGTTATTCAGTTCAGGCAGCCTTCTTGCCATATCTCATTTTCATCAGCTGGAAGCTCAGTGGCGTTCATTTTGGTTGAACAGTTTGTATATGGATTGAATACCTTTTCGGCCACGGTAGAAGGCAACTGTTAACCTTCCTTGTATAGAAATATTGGCACAGAAGCCAGAAGTTACGCAGTGCAGAAATAATTTTGTTACAAAGATGTATATGCAGCTCCTGATGCAGCATTATGTCATCATTCTGCCTTGAGCATCCTGACTCACTCTTCACATTGGTATTCACATTGAATTAACATAAATTCAAGACAAAATTCTCTCCGTATCACCTTAGGAATACTGACTCATTTAGTTTCTGTTGCATTAATAGTCACTTATTATTCAATTTTACTAATGCATATAACATTCGTTTTAAATGATAGTAGCTTTATTTACAGGAGGAGCACTGAGGGGGCCACACCTATATTTAAATCGCAGCTCCGCCACTCACTAGCTTAATAACCTTGGGCAGGTTACTGGATTTCTCTGTGCCTCATTTTTCTCATAAGTTAAGATGGGAATGATAGCACCTCACAGCACTGCAGTGGGCATCAGATGAGTTAATCCACATCGAGTGCTTAGAACAGTGCTGGGTACACACAAGTCCTCAGTAAATGCTGCCCATCATTATTAGCTCTTATTTTAAATTAAGTAAGAAAATGATTCACATTATAAAGTTTCAACCTAAGTATTAAATCCAGTATGAGGAAGTCTGACAGTGTTTGGGGGAATTTTTGTGAGCTAAGTAAGCACTAGCAAACCCTGGGGAACCAGGCAAGGTTAAAGCCAAACCAGAGGAACAAGATCTCAGGTTCCAGTGACTACGGGACACCAATCACTGCAACTCTGGGCCCTGCTTTCCTCAGCTGTGCCTCAAAGAGATTCATCTACATATTCTCGGAAGTTACTTCCAGCCTCTAACGATCTATGACACCTTGAATTCACATTTTTTTTTTTGTCCTGTTAGCTAAGTAGTACTAGTTATACAAATCTGAACAGAAACAAATTAGTATCTATAAAATAGTTTTTATGAAGTTAAAAAAAATGAAAAATAACATAGTCCCCAAAGTCCAAACTATGAGTTCGAGTAGCCCTGTCCCTTTCACACATTTCCTTGTATGAATACTTCAATGAGAGTTCCGGAACCTTTCTAGGATTTTACAATGTACGGAACTATTGGGATCTAGCCCAACCTTCCGGGGCCTGACCACAGGTGGGTCTCCTGGCTTGTCACTCCATTCTAATCCTGTTATTCTTATATTAACAATGTGATAGCTTCTCGAGAAAAATCCAATAGATGTTACATCATTTCAAATAAAATTTAAATAATAATTTAATTTAAAGATCACTGGACTTATTTTATCCGAGACGCCTGAAATAAAAACTCATGAAAAATAACAGAATGATGGTGTTTTACACACTGATTTATTTTAAAGCCTAATATATATGAAAATGTACAGTGTCTTACGAAGCATTTGAAATATAGCTTTAAATACAATTTTTAAGCTTTAAAGAAAGTTTCTAGTTAAGATAAACATACATACTTTTAGCCACTAAATGCAACTTTAAAGGCAGATTTCAGAGCTCTTAATGATAGCTAATGGCAAGCTTAAGGACATTAAAAATGTGCATTTATAAAAATTTAAGGAAATTCATGAAAATGTTTTATAAACATTAAAAACAAACATCTACCATATAATGTGGGAGAAGGCTTCATGATCTACTTACAAATGCTGAAAATCCTGTCTTTTGTAATATTATAAAATTATTACAAAGTTTTCACTATACATTCTTGTTTAAATTCCCTTATATCATCTTCACTGATACCAAGCACAAGTTTGTATTACATGTGTACGAACAGACTACTTCTTCCTTCAGATAATGTCACATGATAGGAATATACTTGGTCTAAGGAACAATCAGAGCATAGCAAAGTGCTGCTTTAATTGTTTAATTAAATGCTGGGTATCCACATGATCTGGAAATGCTGCTTCAGACTTCTGAGCAGCCACATAGCTTCTCTGTAGATCTCCAATCTGTAAGAAATACCAGAATAAAACCACAGAATGAGATCTGGAAAAATTACTAAGGAAATCAAAACAAGACATTCTCTCTGCATATTGTAGAAACTCAAAGCGTTCTTAACAGTAAATTGCTTGATTATTCTACTTCAAGAATCCTTTCATGTAGGTAACAATTCAATCTTGAAAAATATGTAAGAAAAATAAATTAAACAATTATATAAATAATTTCTGCTCCACTCTAACTATCTAGTTATAAATTCATAAACCAGTGCTTTCTTTTCCTGTCACTGATAGTATTATAAAAATAAAATAACGTTTGCATGCTAAAACAGCCAGCTCTATGAAGTTTAGAAAAGTCTTAGGACAGGTATGTGTAATCTATCACAAAGACAAACTCTGATTAGGGTATTATCTCTGAGACAGAAATTCAAGCTACAACTATTATATGTAAGATATGAAAACATGCTCTGGGAGGTTTTAAATGGTGCTAGCACATTAATGTTGGGGAAAATATTTGGTTTAAAAAGTTTATAAAGGGTCTGCTTTTTAATAAACTATGTGTTAGAGTCCAGTCCCAAAGAAAAACATACACAGTATCTGAATCCATCTGAATGTATCTCGACCCATGTATACATTTCTAAAAAGAGAACACTTTTTGGTGTGTACACACACACGAAACCTAGGTAATTCAATTCTGATAGTGTTTTAAACATGTATATGTATTTAAAAACATAAGTTTCCTTATTTAGATCATAGCATTTCTTTTAGACATGTTATTTTCTCAAATGGAAGTATAGTCTTTTGCTTAAAGAAATCTCTCATTCGAGTTAGATATTACTAAAATGTAGTAATATTCTTGAAAGACGGTAATCGAGCTTCTTCACGGTTTGCCTAAGTGGCGGCACAGTGCAGTGGAAAACACCTGGGCATCTTCGGGAGCTGGTGTGAATTCTGCACCTGCCACTGGGACTCTAGGAAAGTCTTTTAAGTTCTCTAAGCCTTGGGTTCCATTAGAATGTAAGCCACATGAGGTAGAGGTTTTTGTCTGTTTTATTCATTCTGTACCTGTAACAGTGCCTGGTACACAGCTGAGGCACAATAAACAAAACATCAGGTATACAAAAAAATGCGTAAGGAAGGTAAGGGATATCGCTACTGCAGGGTTGTTGGGAGAATCAGAGAAGGTGTGTAGAGCACCTGGGGCAGTGGCTGGCCCTTAACAAGCACTCGCAAATTACAATTTATGAATGACAGCTCATTTTCAAAACAGAAATGGGAGTGTGGATGGCTTCGTGTTCACACTATGAAAATGACATATTTTATAACGTCTTTTGGTCTGTAAGAAAAAGTCTTCACATCAGCAAACATTTTTCGCCATTTCTTTATCCTCAAAACTCACCTTCCATGTTAAAGGAAGGTTTCTAAGCAAAAGTTAGTTATCATATGACTTCTATTTTTCTTCTTATTATTAAAAATGGCACATGATTCCTTTTAGCTCTTGGATGTTAACTGACTTGTAACATAGTATTAGTATTAGCAGATGCATTTTACCCATATTGTTTATAGCTAAAATAGGTTTCACTAGTATTCTTAATTTTACAGCAATCATGCCAGAGACTTGGTGGCAATATGATCCATAAATAATATACGAGAATTCCTTGATGTAAAAGCCAAGTATGAAATCCTTCCTAAACCAGGAGTGAATTAATGAGTATTTTTTCAATGACTAAATGTCATATTTAAAAACATAAAGTAACTCTTCTGCAATCTATAATGGTGCTAAGTTTAGTCAATGGTCAGTGATAAAGTTCTTTCAAGTTTATTAGACTGTCCCTTCACGGGAAGACATCTGTGTATATGATAATTGTGTTTCTTTCAGGAAGTTATGGTTAGAATTTCCTTACTTATCTATACTTTTTTAAAAATCAAGTAAAAAAGAGAAACAGATCAGATGATAAATTAATAATGAAAGAGGATACCTTGTCCGAGACTGTTGCAAAATTAAAATGTGGCTCATACATGTGGGGTGCTAGAGATGACGCCGTCTGTAACAGTGCTCTGGCCTGTATGAAAAAAAGAAAAACCAAAGGTACATAAGCGTGTATCGGTACTGTATTTGTGATTTTATTTTCTGTAAAAGAATCCTTTACTCAAGACAGGACCTTAATAAACACGATCCTCTGATAAATACAGATGACATTCCTCATGAAATACAACTTACTGATATACAACTACCTACTTATATCTTGCCAAAATTACATTAAGAATAAAATGCTTCAAAATATGGAGAAAATAAAATAATGAAAAACTTAGAAGAGATGTAGTTATTTGAGAACCACTGTTCTTGTAAAGTTTATACTTCGACATGATATACGACTCAATATAATCCTCTCGATGCTAAAAAAAAAAAAGTCCTATTAATCTAATTTTTGTTGCTGTTGATTGATTTAGTGGGCTTCTAATCACCCATTCTCTAATGCAACAACAAAAACAACTAAAAAACCATGGTAAATTTCAAAGCCCCTAGTTTTATGCTGGATGACAGTGAGCAAGCATTTATTACAATGCTGACCTGAAAATGACAATTGAATGCAACTGAAACTGACAAGCTTTCTGTTCTCACTAAAGTACACACAAAAAACCAAAATTCACATCATTTTTTTTGGTCCCCTATAGGCTCGAAGGATCGTACATTGCAGGGACCACTAAGCGACATGAGATGCTCATACATTCATTGCTAAGACCACAAACTCAGCATTCTAAACTTCTGAACAACCTTCCAACTTGCAGCTAAACTCAAAACCTCTATCTATGACCCTGAGGACAAATTCATATATCTTTTTTTAATATAAAATAAAATGATAGTTAATACAGGACAGTGGACATTAATTTTTGTGTTACAATTAGCTTTCTTTTTGTTTAAATTGAGGTATAATTTATAATAAAATGGGGTCAGTATTATGAAATCTTTCACCAAACATTTCAAGTCAATTGTATACTAGAGAAGTGACAATAAGTTAGAGGGAAAGAAACTCACTAACATAGGAACAGAGAAAACCACAAAAAGCACTGGCTTCCTATAAACATAGGTGAAGTTCCACAATAGAGCAAGTTCCCATTTTAAAGTAGTTGTTTATAAAATATAAATCCATCTTTGTATTTTATTCATTTACTTTGGGGGAATTTGTGAAATCAAGGCCATACTCAATGATGTTTCTTTCTTTGTTTTGTTAAAAGTTTATCATTGTGCTTAGGAGGCCAAGTGGGAGGGTAACATCCTGGCTTACTGTCGCTATGTCTGTAACCATGGGGGGTTACCTGCCTATCTCTGGTCTCTGTTCATCTCTCAACTCTGGAATGTAATAATATCTGCCCTTGATTGCCACTGACATTGTGTATTTGGCACTTATATGTTCTGTTATAATAATACAATTTATTAAGCATCTGCCATGTAGTCAACACTATGCTTCTACTACGCCAAATGCTATTACACGTATGGTCTGCTAATCCTCACAAAAACATCTCTGGATACTGTTAGTACCCCCATTTTATATATCATCCGTTCATTTCACAAATACTAAGCACCTATTATGGGCTGGGAACTGTTTTTGGTGCTGAAAATATAGCAGTTAAGACAGACAAGGTCCCTACTTTCACACTGCTGACATTCTTCATATAAATATGAAAATATCTGATAATGATAAGTATTGTGAAGAAAAAAAAATAGTAGGAGACGTGATAGATGGCCTTTCCAAGGAGGTGGCACTTAAGGAAAGACCTCAATGACCAAAAGAAAAGTCATTATAGGATCTGAAAAAAGAACTTCCAAAGGCCTTAAAGTAAGAACAGGCACTGCATGTTTGCAGAGCAGCAAGGCGGCTGATGTATCTAGAAGTCATCAGGAAGGAGTACGGCACCCCCCTTATCCGCCGGGGATGCGGTTCCAAGACCCCCGTGGAGGCCTGGAACCGCCCACAGTACCGAACCCTACATATACCATGTGTTTTCCTATACATCCGTACCTACTATAAAGTTTAATTTACATATTAGGCAGAGTAAGAGATTAACAACATAATAGTATGACAGAACAATTATGATAATATACCGTAATAAAAGTTATGTAAATGGGGTCTCTCTCTCTGACAGCCCATCAGATAACTGAGACGGCCACTGAGGGACTAACACGCAGTGGATCCGCTGCAGAAGGGACGATTCACGGTCCGCGCGGGATGGAGCCTGACGGCACGAGATCACGCTGCTCAGGAAGGTGCACGACTTAAAATTTATGAATTGTTCACAAGTTTTCTGAATTTTGTTCTGAAATTGTCCTGAAATTTTCCATTTAATATTTTAAAAGCCTGATTGACCACAGGCCACTGAAACCGAGGAACGTGAAACTGTGGAT